CCGGGGCTGCTTGGTGGTCCCTTTCCGTCCTGGCTTCGTGGCCTGTCCTCCATCAGGATCTGTCTGGCCCAGCGGCTGCTTGTGCCGCAGCTTCTCAGGGGCTAACTGAGGGCGAGAGAGGGGTAGGAGTGAGGGTGGGCAGCACCTCAGCCCCGCCGCTTTGGGGCCAGCAGCCCCCTGCTCACCTTGAAGCGGCCAGTGGCCCCCATGGCAGTGGAGTTGTGGGGCCGCACCAGCTCCCCACGGCTCAGCCCCTTGCTCAGCGCCTGCTTCAGCAGGTACTTGAGGCGGACAGGGTCCACGGCAGGGTACTTGGCCAGGATGAACCGTTTGATGGCGATGACAGAGGCACCCTTCTTCTGGTCCTGTGCCCGCAGTGCCTCAATCACCATGTGCAGGGTGGGTGGGTGTTGAGGCCGCCGGCCCCGGGCCAGCACAGCCGGGAGCTGGGCTGTGCCAGCAGCTTCAGCTGCTGGGAGAGATGAGAGGCACCTCGTGGGACCAGGGCTCAGCCCCAATGTGCTCACATCCCCAAGGACTGCAAAGCCCCCCAGAAGCCAAGCAGCCACCACCCTGCACAGCCCTGCAGCCTCACAGGGACTGTGGCCACCACAGCACAAGCAGAGCCACAGCTCTGCCAGGACCCCACAGCACCCAGCAAGCCCCTTACCCAGCTGAGGCTCCATAGCAGCACACACCAGCCTAAAGCTCCAGGCCCAGACAGCCCAGCTCTGCTCACAGCAACACCACCTTTGCTCACAAATTGCTTCACTTCCAGCTAATTTATCTGATTAGCCACCTTACTGCAGGGGCTGGTTGGCAGCTGCTAATTGCTCTGATTGCCGCCCAGTGGGAGCAGGTGGCCGAGAAGCCAAGTGCCCTTTGCCAAAGCTTTGCCAGGGGCTGAGGGAGAAGTGGGACATCTGAGGGTGTGGAGAGGGGCGAGACACGCAGCATTGCGGGGTGATCACCCTCCACACACAGGGAAAAGGCACCCCTCTGCTGCTTGGTGGGTGGTGGGTGCTGGGATCACAGCTTGCTGATGGCAGTCGCTGTGGGGCAGATTGGGAGCCAGACCATGGTGTGGGGCTGGCATGGGACCCATCCCTGGAGTGCTGGTGTGGGTGTGATGTACCGGCTCCCTTCACCTGGGACAGCCCCACTGGGTAGCAGAGGGCTGCACTGCCAAGGGAGCCTGATAGTGGGGGTAAAAATTATCCCACAAACAAGAGGAGGAAAATGGAGAGCAGCTTTGCTGGCCACCGAAGGCAGGAGGAGCAACTCACCCACAGTAGCCCCAGGTGTGCACTTGTGAGCAGGACCCCACACTTGCCCCTGCCCATCGAATCCTGCTGTGCTCACGGGAGAATGCTCCCAGCCCCAAGCACAGGCAGCCCCTCTGTGTACTCTCCGTGCTGGCTCCTGGCAAAAGCAGAAGCCAGGTCTGGAGCAAAGAGCTGGGAGAGGCACCCCATGCCCCGGGCCGCGCATGCCCAGTTCCCCCCGGACCAGCACCACCAGCCTGTTTCCAGTCCCTTTCCTAATTCACCAGGAAGGGGCCGGTAGGGACACTGGAGAGCCACAGGGGCTGGCACTATGGCAGGGCTGGATGCATCTCATCAACCATCTCCTCCTCCTGGATCATCCTCCGGTGATGCCTCCTGGGCTGGCAGGGAGGTCTCAAACCCTTGCTTGTCCCTATCACTGCCAGCAGCAGCCGTAGGGCTGGACATCCCGTGGGGCAACAGCTCACAGGCTCGGGGTCAGGCCAAGACCAGTGTGTGCTGGGGCCAGGCCGGTGCAGGTGGGAAAGCCGCGGCACCAAGCACCGCAGGGCTCCCAGTGAGCACAGCCTCATGGACAGCAAATAAACACCAAATCCTTCCTCCTCTTCCCTCCAAAACCAGCTCCCAGATTTGAAGTACATGAATCAGACATCAGCCTAAACACTGAATTATTCATAAACCTCTAATCTTTAGATTTCACTGAATATGCAGAAGTATCGATAAAAAAAAATAATGAGAGAATTGTACTTGCAAATTGCTCTTTATTAAAGGCTTAACTTGCATGGGTTCTATACGTTCCCTATTAGACCTTGCAAAGCTGCATAGGATTAGAAATCAGAGAGGATAATAATGTACAAAAATAGTTTCAAATGTTGATAACACTGAACAGCGAGAAAAACATCTTATTTGTATAACTGAGCTAAAAATAAAAATGAAGAACACTGCTACAATTGCAATATGCCATCTTGAAGTGCTTAAAACATATGTCGACGTCTCTGAGCCATATGCTCCCATGTCTTGCCTGCTACAGTGCGGAGGGAAGCTTAGCAATGCACCGATCAATCCTCAAAAGCACAAGCACTGGCCAAAACCTCCTACTTGGGCTGATGCCAAACTGATTGCGGCTGAAACGGGGAGGTGCACGGGAGGACCGGGAGGAGCGTGTTTCGGGGCACGGCCCTGCGGCCCGGAGATGCTTGGGAATGGACCGAATGGATGGCGGGACTACAGGGAGGGGGTGCTTCCTGCTGGGGGACATCAAGCGGGGGCTGCTGCTGCTGAGGGTGCAAACACCGTGTGCATGTTGCTGTGCTGGGTGCCCGCAGGAGC